TTGCTTTGAATTCATTGGATGAGTCAGTGCACCTTGCATTTAATCCAAAAGAGAAACATCCAAGGGGCGCCGCCTTACGTAACAAATGCACAGCATGTTTTGATGGTTATTCAGGAAGACGTAAATAATAAAGAATGAAACTCTCCAATGCCAAGGTGATATTATATAATCTGGTGTTAGTTTACAAATACATGTTGAGGAAAAAGTCAAAATAGAACTTGTTCTCTTTCTTTCTCCATTGGGAGTATTTCGATTCATAGTGTCCTGATTTCCTTATCCATTTGTATAAAAGGCCTTGTGTATTTGCTACATGGTCATTCACACCGTTTATTCTACTGTGGATAGACGTAACTGTGAAGATGCAGCTCTATAAAATTGCACTCGTTGTGGCCTTGGGTAAGTTCAAACTTTCAAACGTGAGCTGTGTGAGTTCTATTGAAATGTGGACTGATAAATTCACTTATCTTTTAATTCATTGCCTATTTTCTACATCAACGTGACTTAAAGAGCGTACAAAAGGTAATTGGCAACATTATGAGGTTGAAAACTATATTCTTGCGTTGTTCTTTAAAGACATTTAACTACAGATGCACTGTTCTCCTTTCTAGTGTTCACAGCCTTCTTTGGCTCTGCCTATGGTGGCCACGGAGGGGGTGGCGGCAAAGGAGGCGGAGGAGGACATGGAGGCGGTGGAAAAGGAGGTGGTGGCAAAGGAGGCGGTGGCAAAGGAGGCGGTGGCAAAGGAGGCGGTGGCAAAGGAGGTGGTGGCAAAGGAGGCGGTGGCAAAGGAGGTGGCGGCCACGGAGGAGGTGGCGGAAAAGGAGGCGGTGGCAAAGGGGGTGGCGGCCACGGAGGAGGCGGCAAAGGTGGTGGGGGTCATGGTGGCGGCGGACATGGAGGTGGCGGCCACGGAGGTGGTCATGGTGGCGGCGGCGGCGGCCACGGTGGTGGTGGCCACGGAGGTGGTCACGGTGGCGGCGGCCATGGAGGAGGTGGCCATGGAGGCGGTGGCCACCATGGTTAAACTCAACAGGCTCTTCACATTTCTATCAAATGCTGGACATTTGATGCCATCGTTGCCATAGAATCGTTGACTACACCACACTATACAATGTCAACTTTGAGAAACGACTTCAAATAAAACCATGAAATGAATATGTCTTTTCGACTTTGTATTTACTTACTGCTTACCTGCAAATTAAAAGAAGAAACACATATCACCTATGTGGTACATGATGTATAATACAAACGCACATACGGAGAACCGTATCCTATTGATTACAAAAACAGCTGCAGCGAGAGCTAGTTTTAGTCCCATTCTTGGCATATGAATCCTCCTAATACAAAAGGTAATTTACAATTAAACATTGCAAATAATTCACTCCTTGCCTTGACTGTGTTGTCGGAAAGCCAATTTATAAATACATGGTATAAATCAGTTTCCACTAGTGAAATCATACACATCGTCCCTAGAATTAGCTCAACAGATTCCGTTGATAATTGCAAAATACCTTTATATCTATCCTATGAGAACATTTTGCTTTTAATGTATTTCAACATTTTGTCTTCACTGTGTATGCGTCAAAAACAGAACTCTTCCCCTCTAATACGTTTTGTCTCAAGATTTAAAAAATGTTCAACCCTACATAATCGTCCCCAAATGCTTCACATCTACCTTGTTCTTGTCCACGTTTAGGCGTTTCTGCATTTTAGCAGTTCTGACCTTGTGGAGAATTACAATAGTATTAAAGTAGCAACATACCATACCTAGTTAACTTCACACCTGTCAATTTGACTATCAGTTTGCTAACTGCATTGATACACTATCCGCACACCATAATAGGATGTCATTTAGCACTCTTTCTTAAATGTAATACCGTTGACATTACATTTAGTTTACTGTATTGCTGAGTCAGATGGAGATAGTATGCCCCTTACAGGTTACTGCGGTCAGCATATATTGGTACGCGATTTCGATCGTGTGGAAAGAGCTCAAAGAAATATTTTAAACATGCAGACTACAATAGTTGAATTAATTATCTAGGTTCTTTTAACTGCTTTGAAAAAAGCAACTCAGATGTGTGACATGGAGCGGTCTCATATTCTGCTTTCAGACTGTAGCCCCCTTTTATCCCTACGCTTCTCAGATAGGTGTAAATATATTTCCTGTATAAGTGGTTGCACGGTCACTTCTGTGTCCATTATTGAGTAGATATTACTTACAGTATGTGTTGTGGTGCTACGAGCAGCATATAAGGCGACGGAGACGTAGTACGTGTTGTAATTCCCTAAATATCGGTGTATTTTCATCAAATGAAAAGCATGCAGTATCTACTGTTTGCTCATTTAAGATATAGGTATTTTACAATAGTCATTGATGGGACCAAGAAACTGCATAACGAGACCTATTGTAACATGATATTTACAGCTAATCATTGTTCTTGCATTTTATAGAGACCCGTCTATTCATTGTTTTTGTATATCATATTTGCTTTGAATTCATTGGATGAGTCAGTGCACCTTGCATTTAATCCAAAAGAGAAACATCCAAGGGGCGCCGCCTTACGTAACAAATGCACAGCATGTTTTGATGGTTATTCAGGAAGACGTAAATAATAAAGAATGAAACTCTCCAATGCCAAGGTGATATTATATAATCTGGTGTTAGTTTACAAATACATGTTGAGGAAAAAGTCAAAATAGAACTTGTTCTCTTTCTTTCTCCATTGGGAGTATTTCGATTCATAGTGTCCTGATTTCCTTATCCATTTGTATAAAAGGCCTTGTGTATTTGCTACATGGTCATTCACACCGTTTATTCTACTGTGGATAGACGTAACTGTGAAGATGCAGCTCTATAAAATTGCACTCGTTGTGGCCTTGGGTAAGTTCAAACTTTCAAACGTGAGCTGTGTGAGTTCTATTGAAATGTGGACTGATAAATTCACTTATCTTTTAATTCATTGCCTATTTTCTACATCAACGTGACTTAAAGAGCGTACAAAAGGTAATTGGCAACATTATGAGGTTGAAAACTATATTCTTGCGTTGTTCTTTAAAGACATTTAACTACAGATGCACTGTTCTCCTTTCTAGTGTTCACAGCCTTCTTTGGCTCTGCCTATGGTGGCCACGGAGGGGGTGGCGGCAAAGGAGGCGGAGGAGGACATGGAGGCGGTGGAAAAGGAGGTGGTGGCAAAGGAGGCGGTGGCAAAGGAGGCGGTGGCAAAGGAGGCGGTGGCAAAGGAGGTGGTGGCAAAGGAGGCGGTGGCAAAGGAGGTGGCGGCCACGGAGGAGGTGGCGGAAAAGGAGGCGGTGGCAAAGGGGGTGGCGGCCACGGAGGAGGCGGCAAAGGTGGTGGGGGTCATGGTGGCGGCGGACATGGAGGTGGCGGCCACGGAGGTGGTCATGGTGGCGGCGGCGGCGGCCACGGTGGTGGTGGCCACGGAGGTGGTCACGGTGGCGGCGGCCATGGAGGAGGTGGCCATGGAGGCGGTGGCCACCATGGTTAAACTCAACAGGCTCTTCACATTTCTATCAAATGCTGGACATTTGATGCCATCGTTGCCATAGAATCGTTGACTACACCACACTATACAATGTCAACTTTGAGAAACGACTTCAAATAAAACCATGAAATGAATATGTCTTTTCGACTTTGTATTTACTTACTGCTTACCTGCAAATTAAAAGAAGAAACACATATCACCTATGTGGTACATGATGTATAATACAAACGCACATACGGAGAACCGTATCCTATTGATTACAAAAACAGCTGCAGCGAGAGCTAGTTTTAGTCCCATTCTTGGCATATGAATCCTCCTAATACAAAAGGTAATTTACAATTAAACATTGCAAATAATTCACTCCTTGCCTTGACTGTGTTGTCGGAAAGCCAATTTATAAATACATGGTATATATCAGTTTCCACTAGTGAAATCATACACATCGTCCCTAGAATTAGCTCAACAGATTCCGTTGATAATTGCAAAATACCTTTATATCTATCCTATGAGAACATTTTGCTTTTAATGTATTTCAACATTTTGTCTTCACTGTGTATGCGTCAAAAACAGAACTCTTCCCCTCTAATACGTTTTGTCTCAAGATTTAAAAAATGTTCAACCCTACATAATCGTCCCCAAATGCTTCACATCTACCTTGTTCTTGTCCACGTTTAGGCGTTTCTGCATTTTAGCAGTTCTGACCTTGTGGAGAATTACAATAGTATTAAAGTAGCAACATACCATACCTAGTTAACTTCACACCTGTCCATTTGACTATCAGTTTGCTAACTGCATTGATACACTATCCGCACACCATAATAGGATGTCATTTAGCACTCTTTCTTAAATGTAATACCGTTGACATTACATTTAGTTTACTGTATTGCTGAGTCAGATGGAGATAGTATGCCCCTTACAGGTTACTGCGGTCAGCATATATTGGTACGCGATTTCGATCGTGTGGAAAGAGCTCAAAGAAATATTTTAAACATGCAGACTACAATAGTTGAATTAATTATCTAGGTTCTTTTAACTGCTTTGAAAAAAGCAACTCAGATGTGTGACATGGAGCGGTCTCATATTCTGCTTTCAGACTGTAGCCCTCTTTTATCCCTACGCTTCTCAGATAGGTGTAAATATATTTCCTGTATAAGTGGTTGCACGGTCACTTCTGTGTCCATTATTGAGTAGATATTACTTACAGTATGTGTTGTGGTGCTACGAGCAGCATATAAGGCGACGGAGACGTAGTACGTGTTGTAATTCCCTAAATATCGGTGTATTTTCATCAAATGAAAAGCATGCAGTATCTACTGTTTGCTCATTTAAGATATAGGTATTTTACAATAGTCATTGATGGGACCAAGAAACTGCATAACGAGACCTATTGTAACATGATATTTACAGCTAATCATTGTTCTTGCATTTTATAGAGACCCGTCTATTCATTGTTTTTGTATGTCATATTTGCTTTGAATTCATTGGATGAGTCAGTGCACCTTGCATTTAATCCAACAGAGAAACATCCAAGGGGCGCCGCCTTACGTAACAAATGCACAGCATGTTTTGATGGTTATTCAGGAAGACGTAAATAATAAAGAATGAAACTCTCCAATGCCAAGGTGATATTATATAATCTGGTGTTAGTTTACAAATACATGTTGAGGAAAAAGTCAAAATAGAACTTGTTCTCTTTCTTTCTCCATTGGGAGTATTTCGATTCATAGTGTCCTGATTTCCTTATCCATTTGTATAAAAGGCCTTGTGTATTTGCTACATGGTCATTCACACCGTTTATTCTACTGTGGATAGACGTAACTGTGAAGATGCAGCTCTATAAAATTGCACTCGTTGTGGCCTTGGGTAAGTTCAAACTTTCAAACGTGAGCTGTGTGAGTTCTATTGAAATGTGGACTGATAAATTCACTTATCTTTTAATTCATTGCCTATTTTCTACAGCAACGTGACTTAAAGAGCGTACAAAAGGTAATTGGCAACATTATGAGGTTGAAAACTATATTCTTGCGTTGTTCTTTAAAGACATTTAACTACAGATGCACTGTTCTCCTTTCTAGTGTTCACAGCCTTCTTTGGCTCTGCCTATGGTGGCCACGGAGGGGGTGGCGGCAAAGGAGGCGGAGGAGGACATGGAGGCGGTGGAAAAGGAGGTGGTGGCAAAGGAGGCGGTGGCAAAGGAGGCGGTGGCAAAGGAGGCGGTGGCAAAGGAGGTGGTGGCAAAGGAGGCGGTGGCAAAGGAGGTGGCGGCCACGGAGGAGGTGGCGGAAAAGGAGGCGGTGGCAAAGGGGGTGGCGGCCACGGAGGAGGCGGCAAAGGTGGTGGGGGTCATGGTGGCGGCGGACATGGAGGTGGCGGCCACGGAGGTGGTCATGGTGGCGGCGGCGGCGGCCACGGTGGTGGTGGCCACGGAGGTGGTCACGGTGGCGGCGGCCATGGAGGAGGTGGCCATGGAGGCGGTGGCCACCATGGTTAAACTCAACAGGCTCTTCACATTTCTATCAAATGCTGGACATTTGATGCCATCGTTGCCATAGAATCGTTGACTACACCACACTATACAATGTCAACTTTGAGAAACGACTTCAAATAAAACCATGAAATGAATATGTCTTTTCGACTTTGTATTTACTTACTGCTTACCTGCAAATTAAAAGAAGAAACACATATCACCTATGTGGTACATGATGTATAATACAAACGCACATACGGAGAACCGTATCCTATTGATTACAAAAACAGCTGCAGCGAGAGCTAGTTTTAGTCCCATTCTTGGCATATGAATCCTCCTAATACAAAAGGTAATTTACAATTAAACATTGCAAATAATTCACTCCTTGCCTTGACTGTGTTGTCGGAAAGCCAATTTATAAATACATGGTATAAATCAGTTTCCACTAGTGAAATCATACACATCGTCCCTAGAATTAGCTCAACAGATTCCGTTGATAATTGCAAAATACCTTTATATCTATCCTATGAGAACATTTTGCTTTTAATGTATTTCAACATTTTGTCTTCACTGTGTATGCGTCAAAAACAGAACTCTTCCCCTCTAATACGTTTTGTCTCAAGATTTAAAAAATGTTCAACCCTACATAATCGTCCCCAAATGCTTCACATCTACCTTGTTCTTGTCCACGTTTAGGCGTTTCTGCATTTTAGCAGTTCTGACCTTGTGGAGAATTACAATAGTATTAAAGTAGCAACATACCATACCTAGTTAACTTCACACCTGTCAATTTGACTATCAGTTTGCTAACTGCATTGATACACTATCCGCACACCATAATAGGATGTCATTTAGCACTCTTTCTTAAATGTAATACCGTTGACATTACATTTAGTTTACTGTATTGCTGAGTCAGATGGAGATAGTATGCCCCTTACAGGTTACTGCGGTCAGCATATATTGGTACGCGATTTCGATCGTGTGGAAAGAGCTCAAAGAAATATTTTAAACATGCAGACTACAATAGTTGAATTAATTATCTAGGTTCTTTTAACTGCTTTGAAAAAAGCAACTCAGATGTGTGACATGGAGCGGTCTCATATTCTGCTTTCAGACTGTAGCCCTCTTTTATCCCTACGCTTCTCAGATAGGTGTAAATATATTTCCTGTATAAGTGGTTGCACGGTCACTTCTGTGTCCATTATTGAGTAGATATTACTTACAGTATGTGTTGTGGTGCTACGAGCAGCATATAAGGCGACGGAGACGTAGTACGTGTTGTAATTCCCTAAATATCGGTGTATTTTCATCAAATGAAAAGCATGCAGTATCTACTGTTTGCTCATTTAAGATATAGGTATTTTACAATAGTCATTGATGGGACCAAGAAACTGCATAACGAGACCTATTGTAACATGATATTTACAGCTAATCATTGTTCTTGCATTTTATAGAGACCCGTCTATTCATTGTTTTTGTATATCATATTTGCTTTGAATTCATTGGATGAGTCAGTGCACCTTGCATTTAATCCAAAAGAGAAACATCCAAGGGGCGCCGCCTTACGTAACAAATGCACAGCATGTTTTGATGGTTATTCAGGAAGACGTAAATAATAAAGAATGAAACTCTCCAATGCCAAGGTGATATTATATAATCTGGTGTTAGTTTACAAATACATGTTGAGGAAAAAGTCAAAATAGAACTTGTTCTCTTTCTTTCTCCATTGGGAGTATTTCGATTCATAGTGTCCTGATTTCCTTATCCATTTGTATAAAAGGCCTTGTGTATTTGCTACATGGTCATTCACACCGTTTATTCTACTGTGGATAGACGTAACTGTGAAGATGCAGCTCTATAAAATTGCACTCGTTGTGGCCTTGGGTAAGTTCAAACTTTCAAACGTGAGCTGTGTGAGTTCTATTGAAATGTGGACTGATAAATTCACTTATCTTTTAATTCATTGCCTATTTTCTACAGCAACGTGACTTAAAGAGCGTACAAAAGGTAATTGGCAACATTATGAGGTTGAAAACTATATTCTTGCGTTGTTCTTTAAAGACATTTAACTACAGATGCACTGTTCTCCTTTCTAGTGTTCACAGCCTTCTTTGGCTCTGCCTATGGTGGCCACGGAGGGGGTGGCGGCAAAGGAGGCGGAGGAGGACATGGAGGCGGTGGAAAAGGAGGTGGTGGCAAAGGAGGCGGTGGCAAAGGAGGCGGTGGCAAAGGAGGTGGTGGCAAAGGAGGCGGTGGCAAAGGAGGTGGCGGCCACGGAGGAGGTGGCGGAAAAGGACGCGGTGGCAAAGGGGGTGGCGGCCACGGAGGAGGCGGCAAAGGTGGTGGGGGTCATGGTGGCGGCGGACATGGAGGTGGCGGCCACGGAGGTGGTCATGGTGGCGGCGGCGGCGGCCACGGTGGTGGTGGCCACGGAGGTGGTCACGGTGGCGGCGGCCATGGAGGAGGTGGCCATGGAGGCGGTGGCCACCATGGTTAAACTCAACAGGCTCTTCACATTTCTATCAAATGCTGGACATTTGATGCCATCGTTGCCATAGAATCGTTGACTACACCACACTATACAATGTCAACTTTGAGAAACGACTTCAAATAAAACCATGAAATGAATATGTCTTTTCGACTTTGTATTTACTTACTGCTTACCTGCAAATTAAAAGAAGAAACACATATCACCTATGTGGTACATGATGTATAATACAAACGCACATACGGAGAACCGTATCCTATTGATTACAAAAACAGCTGCAGCGAGAGCTAGTTTTAGTCCCATTCTTGGCATATGAATCCTCCTAATACAAAAGGTAATTTACAATTAAACATTGCAAATAATTCACTCCTTGCCTTGACTGTGTTGTCGGAAAGCGAATTTATAAAAACATGGTATATATCAGTTTCCACTAGTGAAATCATACACGTCGTCCCTAGAATTAGCTCAACAGATTCCGTTGATAATTGCAAAATACCTATATATCTATCCTATGAGTACATTTTACTTTTAATGTATTTCAACATTTTGTCTTCACTGTGTATGCGTCAAAAACAGAACTCTTCCCCTCTAATACGTTTTGTCTCAAGATTTAAAGAAGTTTCAACCCTACATAATCGTCCCCAAATGCTTCACAAATACCTTGTTCTTGTCCACGTTTAGGCGTTTCTGCATTTTAGCAGTTCTGACCTTGTGGAGAATTACAATAGTATTAAAGTAGCTACATACCATACCTAGTTAACTTCACACCTGTCCATTTGACTATCAGTTTGCTAACTGCATTGATACACTATCCGCACACAATAATAGGATGTCATTTAGCACTCTTTCTCAAATGTAATACCGTTGACATTACATTTAGTTTACTGTATTGCTGAGTCAGATGGAGATAGTATGCCCCTTACAGGTTACTGCGGTCAGCATATATTGGTACGCGATTTCGATCGTGTGGAAAGAGCTCAAAGAAATATTTTAAACATGCAGACTACAATAGTTGAATTAATTATCTAGGTTCTTTTAACTGCTTTGAAAAAAGCAACTCAGATGTGTGACATGGAGCGGTCTCATATTCTGCTTTCAGACTGTAGCCCTCTTTTATCCCTACGCTTCTCAGATAGGTGTAAATATATTTCCTGTATAAGTGGTTGCACGGTCACTTCTGTGTCCATTATTGAGTAGATATTACTTACAGTATGTGTTGTGGTGCTACGAGCAGCATATAAGGCGACGGAGGCGTAGTACGTGTTGTAATTCCCTAAATATCGGTGTATTTTCATCAAATGAAAAGCATGCAGTATCTACTGTTTGCTCATTTAAGATATAGGTATTTTACAATAGTCATTGATGGGACCAAGAAACTGCATAACGAGACCTATTGTAACATGATATTTACAGCTAATCATTGTTCTTGCATTTTATAGAGACCCGTCTATTCATTGTTTTTGTATGTCATATTTGCTTTGAATTCATTGGATGAGTCAGTGCACCTTGCATTTAATCCAACAGAGAAACATCCAAGGGGCGCCGCCTTACGTAACAAATGCACAGCATGTTTTGATGGTTATTCAGGAAGACGTAAATAATAAAGAATGAAACTCTCCAATGCCAAGGTGATACTATATAATCTGGTGTTAGTTTACAAATACATGTTGAGGAAAAAGTCAAAATAGAACTTGTTCTCTTTCTTTCTCCATTGGGAGTATTTCGATTCATAGTGTCCTGATTTCCTTATCCATTTGTATAAAAGGCCTTGTGTATTTGCTACATGGTCATTCACACCGTTTATTCTACTGTGGATAGACGTAACTGTGAAGATGCAGCTCTATAAAATTGCACTCGTTGTGGCCTTGGGTAAGTTCAAACTTTCAAACGTGAGCTGTGTGAGTTCTATTGAAATGTGGACTGATAAATTCACTTATCTTTTAATTCATTGCCTATTTTCTACAGCAACGTGACTTAAAGAGCGTACAAAAGGTAATTGGCAACATTATGAGGTTGAAAACTATATTCTTGCGTTGTTCTTTAAAGACATTTAACTACAGATGCACTGTTCTCCTTTCTAGTGTTCACAGCCTTCTTTGGCTCTGCCTATGGTGGCCACGGAGGGGGTGGCGGCAAAGGAGGCGGAGGAGGACATGGAGGCGGTGGAAAAGGAGGTGGTGGCAAAGGAGGCGGTGGCAAAGGAGGCGGTGGCAAAGGAGGCGGTGGCAAAGGAGGTGGTGGCAAAGGAGGCGGTGGCAAAGGAGGTGGCGGCCACGGAGGAGGTGGCGGAAAAGGAGGCGGTGGCAAAGGGGGTGGCGGCCACGGAGGAGGCGGCAAAGGTGGTGGGGGTCATGGTGGCGGCGGACATGGAGGTGGCGGCCACGGAGGTGGTCATGGTGGCGGCGGCGGCGGCCACGGTGGTGGTGGCCACGGAGGTGGTCACGGTGGCGGCGGCCATGGAGGAGGTGGCCATGGAGGCGGTGGCCACCATGGTTAAACTCAACAGGCTCTTCACATTTCTATCAAATGCTGGACATTTGATGCCATCGTTGCCATAGAATCGTTGACTACACCACACTATACAATGTCAACTTTGAGAAACGACTTCAAATAAAACCATGAAATGAATTTGTCTTTTCGACTTTGTATTTACTTACTGCTTACCTG